GCATTCTTTTGGTCGTAATAAAATTAATTTATTAATTCCAGTGGCGTTTCTGAAGGCTATCCACTTGAAATTTATATGTAAAATTATGGTACGCCGCCGCCACCGCTTTTTTGACAATTTAAATTTTTTTTAGATTAAACGGTCAATAATTTAACTATGTGACCTTTATTAGCAGTAATCTGTTTTTTCTCCGTAACCATGACGCATTTGTCATTATTTACGTTTTGGCGTTTACAGTCGGTTTAGTTTTTTTAGTGGTTGTTTTTCATTTTTCTTTTCTTTTAACAATGGAAACTGAACCATTTTCCTTCGAGCACCTTGCAAACATCCATTTTGTTTATGGTCTGGCTCATGGAAACGCACTTGATGCTTGTAGGGTGTACGCGTTAAGATTTCCTCATCGTCGGCTGCCCAACCGCAGAACTTTCAGCAACTCTCATCAGCATCTTCGGGAATTTGGAAGCTTCCAAACTACCAGAATGGATGCTGGTAGGCCGCGGAAGAGGGAATTCTGCAAGTTATTGAGGAGAATCCTGCGTTATGCACAAGGCAAATTGTGCGGGATTTAAACCTTCCTCAATCGACAGTTTGGAGGGTTTTACATCAAAATAGTTTTTAGCCATACAATACCCATCGCGTGCAGGGATTGTTCCCACCAGATTTTCCCCAGCGGGTCTAATTCGCAAGATGGATACTAAATGCCAATGATACGAACTTTTTATCTCGCAGCCTATTTACGGACTAAGCCCAATTTACCCACGATGGGGTCATTAATTATCATAACATTAATGTTTGGGAAATTGAAAATCCTCAACAAATTCGACAGTCGAACCACCAATAGCAGATCAGTTGAAATGTTTGGGCAGGGATGGTTGGGGACTTTTTAATATTGGACTGGACCTGGACTTTTTACAAAATCATTTACTCGGTTTATTAGAGGATGTACCGTTGAATCTTCACCAAAACCTTTATTTTATGCACGATGGAGCCCCTCCCCATTTTCGAATAACTGTCCGCCAATATTTGGACGCTGGATCGGCCGAGCAGGTCCAATAGCTTGGCCACCGTGTACCCCGTTGGATTTCTTTTTATGGGGTCATGTTAAAAGCCTGGTGTATGATGCAGGACTAGTTCCTTCCATTGAAATCCTGCACAAAGGATATTTTGTCTTCGCGAGGTAGTCAGAAACACTCCCGCAATTTTTGAGCACGTTCGGCAGTCGATGAGGCGAAGAATGGAGGGTTGTATCGCCGCGCCGCAGGGGGCAGCCATTTCTAGCATTTGTTACGAAAATCTGCTTTTCTATGCATTTGTTAATTAGTCTAAGTTAAGTTTAAAAAAGAAATTAAATAAATCTCAATAATCGATGGAATTTATTATTTGTTTTAATAGGGCCAGGCACAGATTTTGTTTTTTTCTTGAAAACAAAGCTAGATACGAGTAAAGCTCAGGAGCCAAGAAAGCCTCCTGAGACGCCACTGGAATTAATAGATGTATTTTATTCCCACCAAAGGAAGACCCTTATGACGGCAAATAAGCCTACCAACTTTTATTTCAATGGGCTGAAAGGTTTTTGAATAATTGATAAAAACCTATTTTTTTTTAAAACTTTTACACCCTGTGTCTGGAAAACGAAGCAAGTTGGGACATACGGTTATATATGAAATAATTTCTTATTTTTGACTGGTAAATACGCCCTTAAAGGCCCAGTGAAGCATAATTGTGACTACATTGAAACTAAAGATAATATTCTTAGAAACGCAACAAAAAAAATCCGGTGTCAGTGTCATGTCTCGTTTCCTAGTTACAGGGGTTTAAATATTTACTACGAATGCGGTGACGTCACCGCTCCCACACTTACCGGCTATTATACATTTGCAGTTGCGTATTATCTGTCTAACGAGATGTACCACAGATTATCTGTGTTTGTACTAAAATGACACGGTGTTGTGCTTATAAATGTAGAAATTCTACTAATCAAACTGTAGGAATAAGTGTCCATAAATTTCCTAGTCGTGAGAAATCGCCCTTACGTTTTAAATCATGGGTAAAGAGGATAAATCGGGTTAAATTTGAACCGACTAAAAGCGCTGTAGTTTGTTCCGTACATTTTGTCAGTGGAGATTTCGAACCAGGCCCTGTTTTACAAAGTAAATTGACCGACTGCAAAATTAGAAATGTACTAAAAAAGACCGCGGTTCCTTCCTTGTATTTAAAAGGGAAAAAGCAAACTCTTGTCGCTCACGAGTAACTTCATCTCTTAAAGGTTCAAACTGATAAGGGTTAATTCCTTCCATAATTTTTTTGTAAGAAGCACAAACTTGAGACTTCAGTTTAACAAAAAGATCGATTAAAATCGCTGTGCATTCACGACTGCAGAGTTAGTAAAGGTGCGCTTACGTAGGACCTGCGTATTCAACATGGAGCGGTGACGTCACCGAATCGGTCGACGGAATTTTAAACGTGTGTTACGAGCGATCTACTGAACGTAGAAAGCCCGGATTTTTTTTGTACTTGTTTTTGTCGGGATAACTATTTATTGTTTTTTTCTTGTAAATTTAAATTTTTTACTTCACGGGGCCTTTAAAATCCGTGCACTCCATTTTGAATCACCCTGTATATCAACATGTTCAAGGTTTGACCTGTTCGTAATTTTGGCTGGTTTGATGCATTGGATCCTATTGGCTTACATTTTTACCACTGGCACGTTAGTAAGGAAGGCATGGGCGGATCGAAGCCTCAGGGGGCCCTGGGCTAATATTTTCAGGGGGGCCTACTTACATGAATGTCGGGTTATCGAAAAACATCTTCATTTCTATTTTTATCATTTCTTCAGAAAAACCCACTGATCTATTTTTAGAACTAGACCTGTGAAAGTCATAGTGCCATTGACTTTCAACACGTCACCCGCTGGCTTGGAGTGAGTAGCGTAGAATATTGCAGGCGCACGGCGATTACAGGAAAATAGAATAATGTTTTTGGGTTTTGAGTTGGGGTTGAGGTTTCTCTTGACTCGCAAATTATTTATTTATTATTTATATTTCCTATCAAACGGTTCTTTTAATTTCTTTAAGTACATCTATGCTGCAATAGAACAACATTTTAGTAAATGGAGGTTGGAGGCGAAACAATCTTGCAAAGCAAATAGTTAAATCACATTCGTTCGCAAAAACATACTTCGAATTGATAGGAAATATTCAACTTTATTTATACTCGTATATGAAATACACTCAAAGGTGCTAAAAGAGAATTGATTGTATGTTTACAAACACACTGTAAAACAAAAATAAATGAAACCGGTTCGGAACGCACGGGCCGATAAAAGTTTTGCACGTGGTTTCTCGTTGATTGTTTTTGCGATGTGGAATTGTAGTTGGCTTCCCAGCTGTGCTCTGCACGGACCGGTCACAAAATCCGCTTGTATGCTAAATCGTGGAAAATTTCAAATTTCACGTTTTCCTTCTTGGAAATGGTGCGGAATGCTGCTTTCCCAGCATTTACACTTATATTTATAAGTATCGTTCTTGTAAAACATGCCCCAATCAGCACTTACAACGACGAATCATTTAAATACCCAACTCGCGCTAGCATTAGCTTTTGGTCATTCAACGGTAACTCTCCTTACTTTTTAATTACAATAACCTACTTCATTTACACCATCCTGAATATACAAAGTATTGCAATGTTTATTATCCTATTATATTTACACTTGAATTTAAGTTTTTGACCGCGATTGTTATTTTATATGGCTAATTCCCTTTTATTCTAGGATTTTCCTAAGTTTTCACGCACGTTATCGGTGTATTATAGCTGAATATTTATGTTTACATAGCCTCTGCAATCGATACAACAGAATAAGTATGCAGGAAACCATATGAACAGTGTTGCATTGTGGTTGGTATACCCATTTTACCAACTATCCTCTACAGTATACCAACCACAATGCAACACTGTTCATATGGTTTTGGTACATACATAATATTCTGTCCTATCGTCCCCATCGACTGCAGATACTATGTAAACATAACCTAATTCAGATGTAATACACCGATTACGTGCGCGAAAACTTAGGACAAACCTACTATACCTTCCTTATGATTAAATAAAATACCAACTTGGGTTATAATAAATGAAACAATTAATATACTTACAGTACCTACAGGTAGGTACTCATTGCTAAAAACATGTGCGTGATGCCGTGATCTTTAGTAATCCGAAATCACTTATAATTGCACAAGAGGTTTGTATTGTACCGAGTAAATTTGAGCTGTTTAGGTAATGAAAATCTGTTGCCTAGCAATTACACGAAAAAAACTGTCAACTAATAAAAATGCGACAACTTAAGACCTTCTGCAAGGGCACCTCTAACAAGCATTAAGCGGGTCACTCTGTAATTGGACGCATCCCTGTTTAGGGTCCAGAACAAGAGGGATAATAAATAAATAAATAGCTTATCGCAATAACAAGATAAGCCTTAGAATATAACGCGCAAATATGACGAGATGTTCCTACATTTTAACACGAGATTTAACACGTCATTTGACTTTTACAATTAAATAAACAAATCACAATAAACAAATTACAAGGCGATCAATTTAAATAAATCTTTAGCAATTATACAAAACAACGTTGAACTTTAAATTTAAGTAAAAATCGAACTCCGTATTTAATTCAAAACCAGTAACCAAATTTACATTAAAAAAATTAATGTGCCACATGCAGAATGACACATTATTATTATAGCGACCGAGGCCATACAAAACTTCAACATGACGTTGTTTACACTACAATGTAAATTGCTGATACTGGTACTTTAGTAGTACCAACGTATTCAATGGTAGTACCTACCTTTGCCAACCTAAATACGGTCTTTACCACAAATTCTTCGACGCAAACAGTTGCTTTTGCTATCCCGGGAAGGAAACCCTGCGAATGTTGATGAGTCACGCAAATTAAATAAAAAAGGATGAGATTTGGATTGTGCACTTATCTACCACGCATCGGAATTCAAAAATTCTTTAATAGCAACTCAATAAAGAATTTAAACTTTTTTTTATGTACAAATGTTACCAATATCGTTTGCCATTTTTCAGAGATATTGTTGCTTCGTCGCTTGGTCTACATGAGAAACTGCGTGCAGGTTGTGCACGGCTACGAAGTATACTTCCATAACCTACTAGATCGTTCTATTACTCAAAACACTACAAATATTAATGTTTGGGATCTGGGTCCACCCAGACAAAGACAGTGAGACCCAAAGTCTATACATCTCAAACATGAAAAAAAAACGTTGTCACAATTGCTTAAACCCTTTATGCAGTTATGGTGTTTACAGTCTGGTATGCATGCCTCCTGTTATTGCAACAGATTCTCCGGTTATGTAACTTGCATCTTGCGAAGCAAGGAATGCAATAACCCCTGATACTTCTTCCGGCTCTCCGCATCTGTAAAATTGATACATCAGTACGTTGTATAGAATCATATACGGACAGAGATTTCTCATTGGTATGGTGGTTTGATAAACCACACAGCCATAAATGATATGTACTTATCCTTGTACTTAGATAACAAAAGATAGAAGGTTATAGGTTGTACTAGGTACCTGTTTAGAGGCACGGTCCTAAGCGTCTCTTCCAAATCCTCAAGTAGCTACAATGAGATCGTGTCAATAGATTTAATTTTCACCGTTGAGTGAAATTATCACTTACTATTTGTGCAAAATTAGTTTTGATTGTGCCAGGAGCGACACAATTAACTCTTATATTGTATTCAGCAAATTCCCCAGCCATTGCTTTTGTAAGCATCAACAATCCAGTTTTACTGACACTATATGCAGCACCTACTACCTAAAATTCATTGAAGTTCAGTTTTAATCTAAGGTTTATTATTTACCTTAAACGGTTCGTATCCTCCTACGGAAGACATCAAAATAATCGAACCTCCTCCCCGTTTTTTCATTAATGGCAACACCTCCTTTGCAAGAAAGAATGTCGCCTTAAGATTTGTGTCCATAATTTTATCCCACATACTTTCAGTGCACTACAATGATTTAGAAGACGAGACATTGCAAGTAAAAGTACTATTTATTTACATTAATAATTTTACCTGGATTTGGATTAGCACCTGCGTTTTGTACCAAAATATCTATTCCTCCTAATTTTTCTGCCTAGAAAAGTTTCGATTACTTTGGTTGCTACTTAAATATAGTACGTAAGAATTAATGAGGTTATGTCGTGCGTATATTTATAAACGAGTTGTGGTGGCGTGGTGCATTGAGGCGAGTAACTATTCTTTTTGAATTGGGATGTCATTCATTACGACTCGCATCCGCGCACGCTTTCTCAGAATTAAGATGTGGTTAGACTTGGTACTGTATTTAGTATGACATATATCGAAATGTAAACAAACTACTCCTACCTCGTATAATAGCAGATTCCTATCCTCTTTTTTGGCAACATGACTAGCTAGTCCGATAACATCCAGTCCTTCATTATGTAACATTTTTAAGGCACTGTCAACATTTTCTTGTTTTCTACTGGAAATGATCACTTTAGCGCCCTCCTGAGCAAACTTCCGTGCTGTGGCTAGTCCAATTCTGAAATTAAATTGCGATCGTAAGCCTAAACAATTTGCGACTATTCACGCATTCTATACGGGAGAATTCGGTTTAATGTTTTTAAGGAAGGTTCACGTGCGTTAAGCTGTTTCCCCACATTAAATAACCGAAACGCCTTTAACACAAGTGAGGGTAGCTTTCTAATTAGGATTTGAATTTTTCGAAAAAATATGTAAAGTACGCGAGTGTAAAGGTGCGTAATTGTTTTTCTGTACAGCGTCTTTTTAACTACCTGTATAGCTCCTCACAGTCTAGGCTAGGGTGTAGCTCAAATTTCTGCTGTTTAATAGCAATATTAGGTTCCGTTTCTTAGATAAAAACCACGGGCGTTAGAACTACCAAAATTTTCCCTTTTGAATTGCATGAAATTAAAAAAAGGTCTTGGATTGGTAGTACAAAAAGACATTAACCAATGAACGATTAAACATGCCCGTCGGGATGGGCGATCGGCTATTTTATAGAGTATTGGGAATAAGTTTTGCAGAAACGTTTAGTTAAGGTTAGCTTCATTACCACGGAAGCATACACGTCTCAGTAGCAAAAATAAAGTATAGCATAGTATAGGGTCCAAAATTCGTGTTTTGGTAGTATCGCGTGTTTTCTTTCATAATACAATTTGGGGGAAGTTTTTGGGTATAGAACTGCTCATTTACAAGTAAGAGTGGAAAAAATTTAAACCAAGTTCAGAAATTTAAAGCGTATTAATTAGAAAAGATCTTTTATATTGACGTAAGAAGCTTACGGGTTATCGTTACATTTAAAACAAGTCACGAGTAGCCGTCGATCGAATACAAAAAAAAGAGGGAGACATTTTAGTGCCTACGTCGTCTATAAAACTTACCTTTAACCGCTCAAAGCTACCAGAGCATATCAAAGCAGCGTACCTAATATTAAAAGTACGACCATACATACCAAAACCTATGAAATGTTTCAAATGCTTGAGTTACGGGCACTTATCAAAAACCTGTACAAAGGACGAAATGTGCGACTGTGGAAAACCAGCGCATAGTCAAGACACTGAATGCCAAACGCCGCCCGTATGTGTGAATTGTCGCGGACCGCATACAACACGCTCGCCAAAATGTGGAATTTTCCTCAAAGAAAAAGAAGTCTGCAAGGTGAAAGCTACAATCAATCTTACCTTTAGGGAAGCCAGAACCATGGTATATAGCAAATCATACGTGATACCCAATAAATCTTACGCTGAACAGACAGCAACTTTCACCAAACCAAATACACCACTGCGAGGCCACGTGAAAGAAAACAACCTTTAAGAGACTGGAAAATGAATGTGCAAGCGGAAGATACAGAACTTTCAGAAACCGATACAGACGCCAGCCAAGTCTCACAAGATAAAAAGAAACCGAAAGGTTGGCCCCCGGGAAAACCGCGATACAATTTACGCAAGGATCCCGAGGTAACAACCTACGTGAGGAAAGAGCGCAAAAAAAGCATGTGATATAAAATGTGATAAAGAATTCGAACTGTGATATTTTTTTTTATGTTTTAATCGATGTCTATGTTTTTTGTATACTGTCCCTTATTGTTACGTATACTTACCTGTTATAATAACCTCGATTTACACTCTTATCTTTAGTTTCAAATTCCACAATATAAAATGACTTCTGAAGTAATCATACAGTGGAACATACGAGGTATACGAAATAAGTATGATGAACTAAGGCACCGATAAATGAACAAGGACCGCTAGTAGTAGTGATACAAGAAAGCAAGCTAAAGCCAAATGAAAAGTTTATATTCAACAATTACAATATTTATAAGACTGAAGCACTTATTGAAAATGGAGGAAGAAGTCACGGTCACGGTGGCGTGCTAACAATGGTGAGAAGTGATGTATATTGCAGCGAAATTGACATCAAAACTGAACTACAAGCGTGCGCTGTAACAATCTAATCTGTAAAAAAGATGCACATTTTGAATTTATATCTACCTAATCACTCCTGGACTCAGCGCCAGTTACATAATCTGATACAGCAAATCCCAAGGCCATGTTTAATACTCGGTGATTTTGACTGTCATAATCGAATGTGGGGATCTGAAATGAATACTCCAAAGGGTTTGCTTTTAGAAACCATCATCCAAGACATGAATTGGTGTTATTGAATAACGGCCAATGCACACATGTCAATGAGTCAAATGGATCGATGAGCGTAATTGATCTGTCACTAGCGTCGCCCAGTCTATCACATACGATAATATGGAAAATCAAGGAAGATCTCCATCACAGTGACCACTTCCCAATAATAATTCAATTAAATCAACAAAGATACACGTATAAATCCGAACGAAGGTGGAATGTGGCAAAAGCAAACTGGGAAGAATTTCGAAAACACCTACAAAACGTTAAGATTAAGGAAGGAAGGGCTCTATGCGATATCACAAATGCAATACGTCGAGCTGCTGATAAGACAATCCCGATGAAATCTGTAAGCACAAAAAAATGCCCAGTCCCTTTAGTAGGGGAGCTAGCACGAAATCCACTGAACGAGAATGATCAAAATTTTAACCGATGGAGTTCCATTTTGCCCTATCAGAGTATGCTAAAATCGATCGTCTGCCGCCTCAGGTCATACGACTTAAGGCGCTGCGGGTACTTCTTGTGGTACCAATTCTGAAAGGTTGTTTTTCGAGAAAATAAGTTATACACCAAATGAAAACGTTGATAATAGCTCTTAAAAAAATATTTAAAAAAATCGCGCGCATTTGATAACTCCATAAAAAAACAATTCTTAGTCGGTTTTTCACAAACTTTCTACGGATATAACTAGGTTACGGTTGGACGAATGAAGCTGATTTTTTTTACAGACTGATGATGGGTACTACTAATGACTTAACGGTGTTTCGATTTTAAATTTTTTCTCTAATTACAAGATTATCTTATTATCTTAACATTATAAGATATCTTATAATTAGAGAATAAATTTAAAAAAGAAACACTCTCATAGTCATTGGCTGTACCTATCATTAATCTGTAAAAAAATCAGCTTCATTCATCCAACGGTAACCTAGTTACATCCGTAGAAAGTTCGTGAAAAACCGACTAAGAATTGTTTTTTTACGGAGTTATCAAATGTGCGCGATTTTTTTAAATATTTTTTTAAGAGCTATTATCAACGTTTTCATTTGGTGTATAACTTATTTTCTCGAAAAACAACCTTTCAGAATTGGTACCGCAAGAAGTACCCGCAGCGCCTTAAGTCATATGACCTGAGGCGGCAGACGATCGATTTTAGCATACTCTGATAGGGCAAAATGGAACTCCATCGGTTAAAATTTTGATCATTCTCGTTCAGTGGATTTCGTGCTAGCTCCCCTACTACTTGGTGGTCACCCGATATTGCTATAGCTAACAAAAAGAAAAAAAAACTCTTGCGATACTATAAAAACCACAAAACAATGGAGAATTGGATTGCATTCAAAAAAGCTCGTGCTGAGGATCGAACAATGAAACGCGCAGCGCAGCTAGAATCGTGGCGAAAATACACGTCCTCGATTAGTATACGTGCTACAGCTTCCGAAATGTGGCGAAAGAGGGAATAATGGGGACACGTACCCGACCAATGGTACCGCCTCTAAATATTAAAGGAAACATAGAGAACAACCCTGAAGTGACATGCAATCATCTAGGCGAATTCTTTCAAAGCGTATCATGTGACAAGCAGTACACGCGTGAGTTCCAAATCGCAAAAATGGAGGAAGAATCACAACCCATAGACTTTGGAATCAATGATACAGAAATATTATATAACGAACCATTTACTGCACTGGAGCTCGAGAGAGTGCTTAACAAAAACAAGGAATCCGCACCTGGGAAAGACGGCATAACCTACAGTATGTTAAACAATTTGACACCAGAAATGAAAACAAAGCTGCTGGAAATGTACAATAGCATATGGAAAACCGGAGAGTACCCTACCGACTGGAAAACTACAACTGTGATACCACTCCCCAAAGAAAACAAAGACATAACTAAAGCAGAAAACTATAGACCAATAACACTCTCTTCATGTCTTAGTAAAACCTTTGAGTGTATGATAAATTACAGGCTGACAGCAGTACTAGAGAGAAAAAATGTATTAAGCAGGTACCAAGCACACACTGGCGGTATTCTTTGACATAGAAAAAGCTTTCGACACAGTGTGGAGATACTATGTTCTGAAAATGCTTAAGAAATGGAATTTAAGGGGTAGACTACCGAAAATCATACAAAGCTTCTTAGAAAATAGAAGTTTTCAAGTTCGAGTGGGGAACGTATACTCAAAAGTATATGAACAAAAAAACGGTATACCCCAAGGATCCGTCTTCAGCACGACGCTATTTGTTATAGCAATCAACGGTGTTGCTGATAAAATTAACGAGCACAGTCAATCCTTGTTATATGTCGATGACCTGGCAATACTAGTAAATGGAACTGACATAACGGAAATGGGAACAATTTTGCAAAGAGACGTAAATGAAATCTCCTCGGAAGCTGAAGCACGTGGGTTAAAGCTATCCTTGACAAAAACAAAAATGATGCACTTCTGCAGATTAAGAAAGAACCATCTTGAGCCCGATATATATCTAAACGGTCACCTAATTCCGTACACAGCAGAACTTAAATTCCTCGGACTAACCTTGGACAGGAAACTTACCTGGAAAGCACATATCGAAAAAGTAGTGGCTACAACGAAATTAACACTTAATCGATTAAAAGTCCTGTGCAATTATACATGGGGTGGGGATAAGGAGTCGCTAAGTAAAATAGTAAATGCATTAATCCGAGGGAAGCTTGAATATGGTAACGTAATATATAACAACGCAGCCAAAAGTCATCTTAGGAAAATCCAGAGTATATGGAATCAAGCCTTACGTCTTATTACAGGTGCGTATCGGACGTCACCAATAAGTTCACTGAATGTGGCTGCGAATTGTGTTCCTTTTGAGCTCAGATGTATGGAGAACAATCTTAAATACGG